GCACTCCTCGTTCCTACATTTCTGCCATGCTCTTGGCCTTAACATGGCTCTTATTCTTCTGATTAGACATTTTTTAACCTTACACTTGTCGAGTTTCAAACGGCAAAAGGGAAATACCATTTGTAGGATAGCGCGAACTTGAAATAGTGAGTTGTAGTTCGTACAAGTACAGTAGTGTGGCAGAGAACATTGTCCACACTTTGAGGGTTCGTTTGTTTACAACAAAGGTCATCAAAAGTCACGTGAAACTAGGGAATCTACACCTTACATTACACTTTTCACAGCACGGTCAAGAATTTTTCTGCCTGCTGCAATACTTTGTGTGGCATTAAGCTGGCCGCCTTGCAAGCTGACTGTCTTCACTCGGCTTGCTTGTTGGCAATAAAGGGGGAGGGGAGGGGAAGGGAGGGGAAGGGAGGTGAGCTTAAAAGAGAAGTGGGGGCTGAATAAGAGGAAGGATTATTTGAGATGGATGGGGTGGGGAGCTAAACAGAGTATTATATAATTGCCCCCGCAGGGTTCCGGCCCAGAGGCTGGAACCTGAGGAGGCACCCTAATGTCCCCCATGTAAAGAAGAAGTATCGTATTACTGTTAGTATATGCGAAGCTTTCCCGATTTGATGAAACTAGGCGTGCACGGTGGTCCCGGTTAATTTTCAGCATGTGCGCCTGGCTCAGCAACTGCACAAACTGGGTTTGTCAACGAGTTGCATTCGCCGAATTGTGTCGCACACAAGCACAACAAGTGGCTCCAAATCCTCATCCGGGAAGATTTTCCACCGAAACTCCTCTAGAGCGAGAACGCCGACTTCAAATTCAGCGTGAACAACGAAGGAGAAGACATCAACAAGAAACCGCGGAGTAGAAGGAACATCGATGAGCACAGCGAAGGCAATGCTGACAACAACAGACAGAGGAACAGGAGATTGGAATCAAAGGAATTATGATCGTTTTACACTGTCGAAAACCCAGATTTCTTAGTTTGCCGGTTTCCCCGCAGATATATAGATCAAAGTCTGCAAAGTCTCAGCTCCGTATTATGGCCCGAATAATAATAATTTTCAGGCGAACTGCACCGGGCCATATTTGTTCTTTGTTTTTGTCTTTTCTAAATGCGGGCGGCGAAATAATGCTAAATCTGCTTTTCAATACACTGTTAACAATAACACTTCATAATACGCAAAAAAGAAGAAGAAGAAAAGAAAGAACAACGTATGGACCTTTAACACGATATTCTCGGTTGGTCACCCGTCCAGTTCGTAAGCCCAACAGACAGGGCTTAACTTGAGTGCCGTTACCAAACCGAGTTTCGCGAAGGTTATTACGAGATACATATTTCTATAGAGTTAAAAAGTTATTCAGCAGTACTGCAATTGTTTGGTATTAAAGAACTTTATTTGTCAGACACAAATCAGCAACATGGATCGACAGAACTTTGAACTCGTTTTGTCAACGTGGATCGACAAACTCGATTCAAACCACATCAGGAATAGGTCAGATTTCTCAAAACCCAGTCAAAGACAAGAAAGGTGCTATCGTGAAATAACCGGGTTTTGTTCTATATTAAGGTATTCAGGGTTTAATAAACAGTGGCCCATGTGTTTTTAGGGTTAGTTTATTGCGAAATCCCGATTATTTTATTTGATACAAGGACATGCCAGAAAAAATGAACTGGGAAATATCTCAAAGGTGAGAAACTTGAAACAGTGGTCCATGTTTTTGTAGGGTTAGTTTATTGCAAAATCATTTATATCAGTTGCGTTCGACGTTGCGTTCAAGAATGTCACACTCGAAGCCAAAGCATCCGATCAACACATTAGTTGTAGGAAATTTAGTTACAAATAGATAATTAAAGATGGTTTTGCTGTTTAACACGCGTTCTATTACATTTGCAGTGTTGGTTGAACTCATTATGAGATGTATAAAAAACAATTGTCCATCCTAGGCATGTCATGTATGAGGATTTTTATTAACCCAGGAAACAAAGTGTAATAACTGAGAAAACACAAAAGAGAACAAAAGAATTACACTCAGAAACTCTAATACGAAAACTGCATTTCAAAGGTTCATGGCAAATACATGGACAACCACAAGGAATCTTCATTTGGGTTTTAAAAGGTCGGGGACAGATTTAGTGACAACTATAACTAGTGGTAGTGATAGTTTCACAAGCTATTTGTCTTATCAGTAATGTTCAGTTCAGTTTTCAATGTTTTGCCTCTTGAGAAGTACAGCTCATGGACTGGTAAGATATTCTCTCTTAGGAGACATTAGAACAAGCTAATTTCCCACAAGACAATTATTGTACTCAAATAACAACGGATCTAGGGCGAAAAATAACAGTAAAAGTGATAAAGAAAACAAAACAAATGGATTTAGCTAATAAATTATTGACGAAAAAAATTTACAATGGCTAGAATTTAAACCTCTAAATCTTCTTAAGCAAGAGTACAACAAGGGGAAATACTGATATGTCAGTTTCAGAAACGTTTTAAGGATTTTGAATCTTGCGTTTAGCTTGCCATTTAAGATTAACTGCTTTTTAAGACATGGACTGAAAGGAGATTTTGTTTGTACATTTACCAGTAGGTGCTGTTAATTGTGCTTTTTTGACATCGCTATAGACGTTAATACGTCGCAAAACCTTGATTTTACAAGTAAAATGCTTCTATAACCACATGTCTCTTTGATAGTGTATTTTCGATAACTGTAATCAATTCTTTTGACTGTTCAAAAGGAATATTAAAAACCCCGCAGGGTCTCGCTGGTTTTTTAAAATTAAAAATATCTTCCATTGCATTCTGACTTTTATAGCTTGTCATAAACTTCTTGACAGCGAGTGTAGTCCAAGAAAAAAGGTAACGAATTAGTTTAAAAACACAAGGATTATAGACTATAGATTTTTTCTTCCTGAAAGCATAGCACGTTTATAGAAGATTCACTTCCGATGTACTTAGATACTTACCGATCCAGCCCCTTCCCTCGAGTCCTTTGATCGCCATTTTCTCGTTCCTGTTGTAGGAAGAGAAACGAGTCTCTTAAGACGCTTTTTGCCAATGATCACCTTATGCATCGGAGAAACATTTAGTACAAACTTATTTGATTATGAAAAAAAAAAAATTCGACACAATTTATGCACATATTCCTCTTGCTCTCTGCGCGAAGATCACCCCACCGTGCAGAGCATACATAACAACGTGACACCGCCAACGATACCTGTTTACATCGCGGGCACGTATTATTTCCCAGTGTCCTTAGGAGGCGCTCGTCTCGAGGCAGCGGGGAAGTCAACAACATTCGAAATGAAGTGGAGTTGTAAGGCGTAGTTTTGCGACGAATTTGGACAGCAATGTCTTCTTCGTCTTTTTCGTGGGTGACTAGAAAGATAAATGGACCTATACCTGCGCCCAGGTCAGTTAGTATTGCAGATTGTGGTCAATAAGTCATTAATTTTATCTGACTATGATCCTTATCATATAAATGAAGTAGGAATTAAGCCTTTATTATGTTGCTCTACTTTAACTGCACGGGGCTGGTCTTCCATCTTCTTTAATTAACCATTCTGGTGACTTTGTGACGTCAAAATAGCATGCCAGGGCTGTCAACCCCCCACGTCTTCAAGTATTGAGAATTGATAGGGAAGGGATGAAAGATGACGTCATATCGCACCGTGTATGACGTCATTTGTGCAAAAAATACTCGTGGCATGATATATCATACCGAAATTTATGAGGAAATGTTTGATGTTAACAGTAAGATAGCTCAAACAGTGCAAAATATTTAAAAATTTCTTGTCGGAAAGTCAAGTCTACAGCTAAACTACAAACTTCGGGGAATATCCAGGAGATTTCATTCTCTAATCTGGAGACCAGGAGATACGGTCCAAAATCTGGAGTCTCCCGGCTTATCCAGGAGAGTTGGCAGCACTGGTATGCAGTTATACAATAGCACCCATATACACTGAAATGCAAAGTCAAATTTTCCAAGGAATTTTAAGGTGATTTGCTGGTTTTGCACTGCGCATCTCATACTGCGCATAACAAGATGGCTGCCATGAAAAAGAGCATCCGAAGTAACATTATTAAAATGAAGTTGACTGAAGAGAAGCGCTATTGGAATTATTTCTTGCAGGTGTTTTCTGCCGATATGAGACTCAATGTGTAGGGAATGTCCATAAAGTAAGCAGAAGGCGTGTTGCTGAGTTCGACCTCCTTACAGAGAACCTCGATGGTGGAAGTTAAACTTGTACTCACTCACTTTGATTTTCATTCAAGCACCATCTTTATCACATTGTGTCCTAATTGTTGTGATATCTTGATGTAAATTCTGTAAAAACTGATTTTTTAATGCCTTCTTTCCCCTTCCACGTACATGCCATTTTGAAGCTCACCCATTCCTCTCTCAAAAATCAGAGAATAAGCATTTGGTGTACCCTTTCTGCAGCTCTACTACAAAAAGGAGTACGGTGACCCCCATTTTTTATTTCATGATTATGGAAGAGATATGACTATATTGCAATTAAAAAGCTGACTACAGATGGCAAAGAGATTAGAAAAATAACTCTTGTTGACAAATGCACAAAACCATTAAAGGAACTTTATGAGTACTTCATTCAGCCCTTAACACATTTTCCTTACTACTCCTTTCTTGCCAAGTGGTAACGAGAGCAACTAGATTCTCTCCTTGAAAACATTCCTCTTGATCATGCTGTCTGTCTTCACTACTATTCTGAGGGTTATGCTTGCCGTTTCCAGGATGAAATTCAATCTGAATATTTTGACATCAACAAAGTTAGTCTCCATGTCACCATTCTCTACAGGCACTCAAATGAAGAAATGGCTGGTGTTCAGAGTACAGAGGAGGAACCTATAATCAGCAAAGAGCATTTGTTTGTCATTTCTGATGATGTGACACAAGACTCTGTCCATGTTCTGTCCTTCACATCCAGAAGTTGATATCAAAGCATTTGCAAGACTCTAAATGCATTATTAAGAACATGCATGAATTCACTGATTGGTGTGCAGGACAGTACAAGAGCAGACACTACCTTGGTGATCTCTCCTGTTCCTTGGCTACTCTTGGATATACAGTCCAAAGAAACTTCTTTGCCACTTCACACGCTAAAGGTGAACAGGATGCTGCTGGCTCGCATGTACAATGTAAAGCAGAAGGCAACTACTGCCATCCTCTGTAGAAGAGTCAAACTTCGTAGTGCCCAAGAACTGTGTGACTTTCTTACAAAGAACTTCTCCAGGCCAGCAGTGTCATCTTTTCCCTCTAGGCAGAAGTCAGTGCAGCTGAAGCGACGTGTCTTCTTTAATTTGCCTTCTTCTGGTGCACTGTCTGTTTCCCGAAACCGGGAAGGAGGCAGATTTTGTACTGTGAAAGGTATCCGGCAATTGCACTCTGTCAGAACCGGTAGTGAACAGCTAAAGGTCTTCACGAGGGAAAGAGCTCGTTACTGCCATGACTGCCTTGCTGAACGTTACAACAGATGTGAAAACACAGAGTGGGTGGATGACTGGAAGGAGGTCAAGTTGGCCAGGGAGCCTTCAGGCTCAACCACTAGAGCAACTGAGGATGTCACAACCACTGAACAGTTGGTTCAACTTGCTGATCTGGCAGCCAAAGACAGCATTGTGGTTGTGGCAGCAGAGGATGATAGTCACTAAGATTATAATCTTCTTAAAATAACAAGTGATGGCGTAACAAAGCTGAAGGACAATTGTAAGGATCCATATGGGAACATTTAAAAAAGGACAGTTTGTTCTTCAAGGGAAATTCTTTCTTAGGGAAAACATAATTGATCAGACATACAAACTTGATGAAAAGGTGGCAGGAGTGCTTCCAGGAACTGTACGTTATATTTGTGGTGCCTTGACATCAAAGGGAAAGAGACAGCAAATAATTATTTCAAGTTCCATTGAATGAACACGAGCAAATATTAGCATCTCTTTGACTTTCTTACAATTAACGTGTTTCTTTTGTTATTAATTTCTGCTTAAAAATTCCCTCAGAGAAAGATATAATTATATATTTTGTGTAAAAAGGGTGTGGTCACAATGCATGTTTGGTAATAGTAAAATAGCAGAAAATGTTCTCAAAAATTGTTGAGGTGGCATTTTTTTGTAATGTTATCATTTTTTATTGCTTTTTGGAGTTACTTGAAACACCTACTGTATTAATTTTTCTAAAAAATTTCGATTTTAGGCCAATGTTACACCTTTGTACATGAGAACTGTGCTACTGATCACTAGTATTCTCATTATATTGCAGTTTTGTGGTAAATTATCTTGGCGATGTTGTGGGCAAGAGGCTGTGAACTCAGGCGCAGATCCACACCGGTTTTCACTGTTTTAAGGAAATCGGTCACATTTTTCATAATGAATAATTTTATATTTTGAATAATAAAAAAACTTTCCAAGATGAAATCCTGTCTGAATGACTTGGAAACCCTGGAAAGGGGACTTTAGGCAGTAAAAATCCAAAAAATTTGCTGAGAGAGCCCGCCCCTGGACCCGGCTTGAAGTTTGTGCCTTTGGCACTGGTTTGGGAAAATCAGTCAGTATTTATCCTAGATCTGCACCTGGGACTGTCCACACTATCATCATCTTTACTATTATCAACTCACACCTAGAACTGGATTATTTTGTGTAAGGTTGGAACCTGAATAGAACTTTTGTTGACAGTGACTAACGTTTCAACAACCTGTGCTGAGTTAAAGTGAAGAAGAAGATGACTGCAGCACAGTTGTCAAAACGTCAGTCACTGTCGACAACAGTCCTATTCAGGACTATGTTCACTTGGGCGATCATGCTCAACCTACGTATAACTCCATTTTCTTTGATCTTTTTTTTTTTTAGACAAGGTCATGCTGCTGCAGTTGTGGACAAGAAAGTGTACATTTTTGGAGGCAGCAGTGGAAGTGGTTTTGGTGGGCAGCACAGTGACTCCACTAGTGATCCAATTTACTTGAATGATCTGTTCCTTCTTAAGGGTATGCAAAGATTGTATAGAAACCGTAAATGCTAGAAATCCATGCTTACTGTCTTCTATTTCAGTAGTCAACTTTAAACACTGATTCTTAAGGTACAGTGCTAGAAAAAACTTTGATAGAAAAATATTAGTTTTAGGTATTTTTTGTCACTCTGAAGGCCTATAAATATATATATTTTTGTGATTAGAACATTATAATTACCAGTACATGTACATTTTCTGGTCGAGTTCATCGTAAGTTGAATGGCAAAGAAGTGTTTAAGTGTTGGTAATTAAACCCCCTGCAGCTAGTAAGCCTCTGAAATCTTTAACAATGTAGAGCTTTTGGCTTAACCCTTGGATAGAGAATTGTTCATCCAGTCGAGAGCATTGTCCACCTTTTGAGCAACTGGGGCGGGATAAAGACCTAATATCCAACTGATATTTGCATTATAATTATTCTTAGTCGGTGTACAGGTGACATGGGAAAGATTACAACAGCTTGGAGACATTCCTTGTGCTAGGGATGGACACACCCTGAGGTCTGTAAAAGCCGGATTGTCATTTTTATTAATCATTACTTAAGTTGGTATTTGAATACTACATCTTCCTTGTCACATCATGAAATGTAGCTCCCAGTTAGGTTCTTTGTTAGAGTATAAAACTGTATTTCTATTTTTGTTTTTTTTCCATATACAGTGATTAATGTTAATGGTTTGGTTCAATTTTTTTCAGCTTAGTTTAAAAACCAGAAGGTTTGAAAAGCAATTAAACTGGAGAAAATTTGGACCACAACAAAGATGTAATATTTATACCATCCAAACTATTTGTTTATGGCAAGTGATTATTATTTGACTTCTTTTAACTCTCCCCAGTGCTTTGGGCTCTGTACTTTATTTATTTGGTGGCTCAAATTACCCAGAATCAGAAGAATGTTTGGAAGGATTATACGCTTATGACATAGGTAAAACTTTGTTGTAATACTTTAAAATTCCTAAGGCATTGATGTCGGTATTCCTACAGAGGTTGAATCTAACAAACTCATTTTGCACTTTTATAAGTGAATATAGTAGTTTACCACCTTCAGTTTTTTAATACTTCCAGTTTCTCTCTTTGTTTGGTCAGTTTTTATCATACTGGTAACCATGGTAACAGTGTATCTTAACATTTTAATTTCCAATAGTGACCATCAACAATTTTCTCCTAACGATATCCATCATACATTGTCAAGACGTAAGGTTATGGTAATAATTATTAATAAAATGATCAGCTTAGGGGAAAATTAATGCTTTGATCTTTGAACAAATTCTCTTAACTAATTCTNGGCTCAAATTACCCAGAATCAGAAGAATGTTTGGAAGGATTATACGCTTATGACATAGGTAAAACTTTGTTGTAATACTTTAAAATTCCTAAGGCATTGATGTCGGTATTCCTACAGAGGTTGAATCTAACAAACTCATTTTGCACTTTTATAAGTGAATATAGTAGTTTACCACCTTCAGTTTTTTAATACTTCCAGTTTCTCTCTTTGTTTGGTCAGTTTTTATCATACTGGTAACCATGGTAACAGTGTATCTTAACATTTTAATTTCCAATAGTGACCATCAACAATTTTCTCCTAACGATATCCATCATACATTGTCAAGACGTAAGGTTATGGTAATAATTATTAATAAAATGATCAGCTTAGGGGAAAATTAATGCTTTGATCTTTGAACAAATTCTCTTAACTAATTCTTAAAGGAAATGAATGGAGATCAGTTTGGAGAATTTGCATGTGGATATTGGGGTTTTAAGGGTTAAAAACACCCATTATTCTAGCATTGACCTACTTGTAAGTACTGTACATGTATCAGGGTTTTCACTACGATTTCAAGTTGCTTTAGCATCCTATCCAGCGGGGAGTAGCAATACTCCTATGCATGCTCCGTGTGTGCTAAGGAGACCAGGATAAGCTCCAGCCGTTTGGGCCTTTTATCTTTTTTACCTTTTACACACAGAAAAAAAGGAGGAAAAAAGACAATGCTACTTATGTATGTTATAAAGCCACCTAAAAAATCACTTAAAGCTAATCGAGCTAGGAGGCATTATAGAGTACATTGTGTCATATTCTGTGTTATAAAAGAGGAGGCATAAGTACAAAACATTGTTACAAGTCAAACAAAAAACAAACAAGCAAACAAAAAGAAATAAACTAAACCCACGTTGTAAAATGAACAAAAATCTGACTCAAATAGACGACAAAACAGTAAAAGAAATCATTCAAAATGGTAGAAGGGCAGAAAAGGACAAACACGCCCTCTACATGTAGGTTGGAGATAAGTCGGCGCTGATAAAAATACGTCTGTCCCCGTGACATCCACTGTAGTCCTATAAACTTGCATATGTTACAGGTCAAAATTAAATTCTGGTTAAAATTTTTTTTAACATAGATTGATTCTCTATTTCTTTTGTCTCCTAGACCAAGGTAATTGAGAATCAACCTAGGTTAAAACATTTTAGCCTGAATTTGATTGAGTGTTTTTCAGGAACACTCTCCTGGGAATTATGTCCCACCCAAGGTCGTCAGCCAAAAGTCCTAGGCCATTCTGCTGCTGTAGTAGGAGACACTTTGTATATATTTGGAGGAATACATCACGGAGTTGCTTCAGATGCTCTTTATATACTAAATACAGGTAAGTTGTTTCTATTAAACTTAAAATACAGCTATAATTACACAATTACGGTATATTATGTTATGGGTCAAATTGATTACAGGTTAAATGGCTTCAATGTAGGTCAATTTCCTTTATCTCTTATGGCTTGTTGACAAAGGAAATTGAGAATCAACCTACGATACCGTTCAAGATTTAAATATTTTCTGTTTTGTTACAGGGAATTTGACATGGACTCCTCTCAAGGCCTCTGGAAAACCCCCTCCTGCCAGGTACACAAATGAATAGTGTTAGTAAGACAAAGATTGTATTTTGCTGTTTGCTTAAGTACTTAAAGGTCACTGTTGATATGGCATCACAATGTGACAAAAACAGTACAATGTCAGTAGCCATTGAAACAAAGTTAGAACAGGAGACAGTCTCTTTTACCACATTTTAGCATGTTTTGTTGCGGGCGACAAGAGGCGCCTGCAGTCCTAATTTCCATGTTGTTATTACGCATGCGCCGCATGTATGTTGCCAGCTTCGTTTGGACTTCCACTAAAAATGAATGGAATGCAGCGAACGCTAATGTGGTCACGCGCGTTTGGACCTCCTTTCCCTCGTAATTTAATCGCGCGTGTTTTGACATATTTATCGCGTGAAACTTACGCAAAGCACAGCGTTTGCGCGAAAGCGTTTTGACCTACGATCGATGTCGCTCGCACTCGGTAACCTTTGGTTATTACTAGAAATAATGCTAATATCATAATAAAATGTTTTGTAGGTGTGATCATGCATGTACAGTGATTGGTGAAAAGTTTTACATCATGGGAGGCAACGGTGGAGAAAAGTTGTGGTACAATGACTTACATGTCTTTGACACGGGTGAGCAAGTCAAATTGCCTCAGGCCTCCGTTTCAAAGCGAGGCTAAGTGTGAAGCCATTAATATACCAATGATTTTTCTTCTCGTGCAAATAAAACTCATTGTCACATGAAAGGTTTTGCACTTAGCCTCTTTTTGAAAGTGAGAGGTTTTGTAACTCGGAAGTGGCCTATTGAAAATACCCGGTTTACTTTCTCATCAACAACTATATATAAAGCACTAGACTGCTTAATTTGACCGCATGCCACACCGGACGTAGGTAGACTGCTTTGAAGATGAACTTGTCACTCAAGGAGGCTAGATGTAGTTAGTGGATGATAAATTACATTTACATACATACATACTCCCGAAAGGGGTTTTTCAGGAAGAATCACTATTTACAAGCGCTACATTTAACTAATTACAACACTCAACTTAGTACTAATTACAATCCTGAACTAATTACTAATTACAATACTTTTTAAACTAACTAAGAAGCGTTTACAAAATTACCTGGTTCCTTTAGAGACGTTTCGAATAACAGGAACAGATTGATCTAATTTAAGGTAAGGTTCTAAATTAACTTTTGTGTTACTTTGCAGTAACCTTGAGATGGGAATCGGTGAATGTTCTGGGTCACTTACCCTATGCACGGAGCTTACATACGATATGTGCCCACCATGGCAAGGTATATTTGTTTTTTCTACTGAAAAAATAAACTGTCTTTTTACTAAGAGCATTATTTATTCAAAATATTTCCATGCTTCTGATTGGCGTAAATCTCCCTCTGTGCGACTAATTCGCCAGTTTAATCTTAGGTGATTACTCCAACACATTTACTTTGTCAAATGCAAGCGAACTCTTTTTGACCCGAATTCCTAAGAACCATATTCAAGTTCAGAGAGAAAAAGAAAATTAGGCTGTCGCTTGTTTACGTCCTCCAAAAAACGTGAAATGAGGAATTTTGCCCGTCGTAGACCCAGGGGCGGTCAGTCGGGTGGGGATAGACGGCGGCGAAAGTTTTCAGGAATGGACGAGAGAGCCCCTGGGATGGTACTGTTATCGAAGCAGTTCCACGACTCATTCGAATGTTTGTCTCTGAATCGGAGGTCAGCATCTATCGCGCTGCTTTCGGAGTTTACCTGCGTTCTCGACTGTTGTTCGTAACTGTCTGGCTCCTGCGGGGGAGCTTTCTTCGAGAAGGGTTCTCAGTGAAAATGGGGCCCACAAAACAGAAGATGTCCCATAATTTAGCATGTTAGCAAAACAAAACAAAACGAAAGGTAGGATTTCCGTATTAAATGTATGGGGTTAAATGGACGATGGACGATCCAAACTCATTTAGACGAACTTAACTGAGCCAGAAGTCGATTTTTTCATGAACTTAAGTCACTAAGTTTAGTTCGTCCCATGAAAAGTTCGACGTTTGGACTAGGCGTAACGACGAGACGGCAACGTGATTGTCGCTTAAAAATAGAATTTTCGTTCTTCCAGTCTTTATCGCAACTATTGCCATCCACTTATTTTCTCAAATGTAGGCGAACCCTCCTTAAGTTGAATTCCAAGGGACCATATCGAAGTTCGGAAAGAGAGATAAATTTCGTCGTTGCTTTTTTACGTTCCCCATCAAAACGCAAAAGTAGGCATTTTCACGCCGTAGTCGTGCAAAAAAGGCAAAGAAATGTACAAAAAATTGTGACGCACGTGCAAAGTTGTTGTTTTGGTTATTAGGCATTGTTTTTTGGTGTTCTCGTTACAGTCGCGCGTGGTTGGATCTAAAACTCCGTAATATATTGCTTTGCTCTTGTGACTGACTTTCTTCTTGCTTTTACCGTTTTCTATTGCTGTAGCTCCCCATTCACTATACTGTGAGTAAACTGGGATCATGGTAGCCTGCGAGCAAGCTCTTAGGGCGCTCTGGCGGCGGGGCGGGGTAAGGAAGGAGAGCTTGCAACTATGTCTCTGGAATTTGAATATCTACATCGAAAAAATCGATGCGAAATGCTGATTGGCGGAGATGACATTAGTAATGACGTCATTACCCTTGGGGCGTGCTTTCACGTGCCTTTAAATGTTTGTTTGCATTCTCGCTCGTTTCCGCTTCGCGCTGATTGGTGGAAATTAGACAGCTCAGTCGAAGGGGAACCACAGGGGAATTGGAAGCAAAATTCAAATTCTAGAGACGTAGTTACAAGTTCTCCTTCCTTCTCCCGCTCCACCGACAGAGCGCCCTGGAGAACTTACTCGCAGGCTAAGATCATGGTTATTGTTAGGGCTCACTTTTTTAATACTTTTTGGGTTTATTCGCCAGGATATTTACTTATTTGGTGGATCAAATGATAAAGCAAAGGTTCCAACGCCATTCGAAGATGTATACAAATTGAGCATGTGTAAGTAGTCATGCGAATTATAATTATC